CAAAAATAAATGAGAAGCAAATCAAAGCATGTCACTAAAAAAAAAAAAAAATCAATGAAACACAAAGGAGCAAGAGAGGAAACAAGGGACAAAAAAGCTACAAAACATACAAAAAACAGTGGTAATAGTAAGTTCTTCCTTATCAGTAATTACATTAAATGTAAATGGATTGAATCCCCAATCAAAAGACATAGATTGGCTGAAGGGATAAAGTTAAAAAGAGGATCCAACTATATACTATCTACAAGAGACTAACTTACGTCTAAGGACACATATAGGCTGGAAGTGAAAGGATGGAAAAAGATATCCCATCAAAATGGTAACCAAAAGAGTAGAGGCAGCTATACTAATAGCAGACAAAAGGGTCAATTCACCAGGAAGGTATAACAATTATAAATATATATGCACCAAATACCAAAGCTCCTAAATATATGAAGCAAACATTAACAGAATTGAAGAGAGAAATACATACCACCACAATAATAGTAGGAGATTCAATACCCTATTTTCAATAATGGATGGAACAACCAGAAGAAAATGAGTAAGGAACAGAAGACTTGAGCAACACTATAGACCACTTGGACCTATGAGACATATACAGAACACTCCATCCAACAACAGCAGAATTACACCTTCTTTTCAAGGGCACATGGAACATTCTACAGGATTGTCTATGTTAGGCCCAAAACAAGTTTTAACAAATTTTAAAAGATTGAAATCATACACAGTCTCTCGTCTGATCACAATGCAATGAAACTAGAAATCAATAGCAGAAAGAAAAACTGGGAAATCCACAAATATATGGAAATTAAACAACACATTCTTACACAACCAATGCATCAAAGAAGAAATCACAAAAGGAATTAGAAAGTAACTCACGACAAATTAAAATGAAAACACAACATACCAAAACTTATGGGATACAGTGAAAGCAGTGCTAAGATAGAAGTTTATAGCTATACATCCTTACATTAATAAAAAAGGAAGATCTCAAATCAACAACCTAATTTCATGTCTCAAGAAAGTAGAGAACAATCTAAACCCAAAGCTAGCAGAAGGAAGGAAATAATAAAGATTCGAGGAGAGATAAATAGACAATAGAAAAACAATAGGAAAAAAATCAACAAAACTAAGAGTTGTTTGAAAAGATCAAAACTGACAAACCCTTACCTAGATTAAGAGAAAAAAGAAAGAAGACTGAAATAAGTAAAATCAGAAATGAAAAACGGAGCATTACAACTAATGTAACAAATAAAAAAGGATTATAAGAAAATACTATGGACAATTGTACATCAACAAATTGGATAACTCAGAAACACACAACCTACCAAGACTGAATCATGAAGAAATAGAAAATCTGAACAGATCTATAGTAAGGAGATTAAATCAGTAATTGAAAACCTCTCAACAAAGCCCAGGACCAGACAATTTCACTGGAGAATACGACCAAACATTTAAAGAATTAACACCAGTCTTCCTCAAACTCTTACAAAAAATTGAAGAGAAGGGAACACTTCCAAACTCATTCTGTGAGACCAGTTGTACCCTGATACCAAAGCCAGATAAAGACACAAGAAAACTACAGACCAATATTCCTGATGAATATTGATGCAAAAATCCTTAACAAAATAGCAAAGAGAATTCAGCAGCACATTAAAAGGATTAAGTAGGATTAATTCCTAGAATGCAAGGATGGTTCAACATACAAAAATTGGTCAATGTATACACTGTGTTAACAGAATGAAGGAAGGAATCATGATCATCTCAATTGATGCAGAAAAAGCATTTGACAAAATTCAGCACCCTTTCATGATAAAAAAAAAAAAAAACTAAAAACGAAACACACTCAACAATCTAGGAGTAGAAGGAAACTACCTAAATGTAATAAAGGCCATTTATGAAAAGCCCATAGTTAATATACTTAATGAAAGACTGGAAGCTTTTTCTCTAAGATCAGGAACAAGACAAGGATGCCTACTCTCACCACTCCCATTCAACATAGTACTGGAAGTCCTAGCCAGAGCAATTAGGCAAGATAAGAAAAGGCATCCAAATTAGAAAGGAAAAGTAAAATTATCTCTATTTGCAGATGACATTATCTTATATGTAGAAAATCCTGAAGATTACACAAAAAAAAACCTGTTAGAACTAATAAATTCAGCAAAGTTGCAAGATACAAGATCAACACACAAAAATCAGTTGCATTTCTATACAACTAAAAAGGAACAATCTGAAAAGGAAATAAAGAAAACAATTCCATTTACAATAGCATCAGAAAGAGTAAATACTTAGGGATAAACTTAACCAAGAAGTTGAAAGACTTGTACCCTTAAGAGTCCAAAATGTTACTGTAAGAAATTAAAGACGACAAATGGAAATACCTCCCACGTTCATGGGTCAGAAGACTTCATATTGTTAAGATGTCAATACCATCTGAAAGCAATCTACAGATTCAATGCAATGTCTTTAAAAATGCCATTTTTTGCAGAAATAGAGAAATCCATGCTAAAATTCATATGAAGTCTCAAAGGACCCTAAATAGCCAATCTTGAAAAAGAACAAAGTTGGAGGTCTCACACACCCTGATTTCAAAACATATCACAAGGCTACATAATCAAAACAGTGTGGTACTGGCATAAAGACAGACATATAGACCAAGGGAATAGAACAGAGCCCAGATCCCAATAAACCTTCATGTATATAGTCAAATAAACTTTGACAAGGGTGCCAGGGCCATTCAATGAGGAAAGGACAGTCTGTTCAACAAACAGTGCTGGAAAAACTGGATATCCACATGCAAAAGAATGAAGTTAGACCCTTTCCATACACCATAGACAAAAATTAACTAAAATTGATTAAAGACTAAATGTAAGAACTAAAACTCCTAGAAGAAAACAGGGGAAAAGCTTCAGAACATTGGATTTGGCAATGCTTGCTTGGATGTAACACCAAAAGCAGAGACAAAAGAAAAAAATAGACAAATGGAACTACATCAAACTTAAAAACTTCTCTGCAAAGGGCACAATCAACAGTGTGAAAAGGCAACCTACAGAATGGGAGAAAATATTTTCAAATCATATATCTGATGAGGTGTTAATATCCAGAATATATAAAGCTCTCCTTCAACTCAATGACAAAAAACAAATAGTCCAATTAAAACATGGGCAAAGGACTTGAATAGGCATTTCTCCAAAGATGTTATACAAATAACCAACAAACATATGAAAAGATACTCAACATCACTAATTATTAGAGAAATGAAAACCAAAACCACAATGCGATATCACTTCACACCCATGAGGATGGCTATTGAACAAAACAAAAACGAAACAATAAGTTGGTGAAGATGTGAAGAAACTGAAACCCTTGTGCACTGTTGGTGGTAATGTGATATGGTGCAGCCTCTATGGAAAACAGTATAGAGCTTCCTCAAAGAATTAAAAATAGAACTACTAGAGCCAGCCCTGATGGTCTAGTGCTTAAAGTTTGGTGCATTCTGCTTCAACAGCCCAGGTTCAGTTCCCAGTCATGGAACCACACCAATCATCTGTCAATAGCCATGCTGTGGCAGCAGCTCACATAGAAGAACTAGAAGGACTTACAGCTAGAATACACAACTACGTACTGGAGCTTTGGGGAAGTAAAAAAAAAAAGAGGAAGATGGGCAACAGACGTTAGCTCAGGGTGAATCTTCCCCAGCAAAAAAATAAATAAATAAATAAAAATAGAACTAGTATATGATCCAGTAACTCCACTTCTGAGTATATATCCAAAAGAATTGAAAGCAGGATCTTGAAGAGATATTTACACACCCATGTTCATAGCAGCTTTATTCACAACAGCCATGAGGTAGAAGCAACCCAAATGTCCATTGGTGGATGAATGAACAAAGTGTGGTATGTACATACAAGGGAATATTATTCAGCCCTAAAAAGGAAGGAAATCCTGTCTCATGCTCAACATAGATGAACTTTGAGGACATTATACTAAGTGCAATAAGCCAGTCACAAAAAGATACATACTATATGATTCCACTTATATGACGTATCTAAGCTGGTCAAATTCATAGAAAGAGACAGTAGAATGGTGGTTGCTAGATGCTGTAGGGGAGGAGGAAATGGGAGGTGGTTTAATGGCTATAGAGTTTCAGTTTTGCAAGATGAAAAAGTTCCGGAGATCTGTTGCAGAACAATGTGAATATACTTAACACTCCTGAACTGTACGTTTAAAAATAGTTAAGACGGTAAATTTTAGGTTATGTCTTTTTTACCACAATTTTTTTTTAAAGGTGGGTATATGGTTCCAAATGGTCCAGCTTGCACATAAGTCTGACGGGGAGGCGTTTAGTATGGAGGAGAACGAGTATAATGGTATTCCACCATGAGTAGTTACATCAGTTATGAATACCGAAGGAGCTGTTTTAGAGGGAAAAAAAGTTTGATCTTTTTCACTGAAAGTAGAATATATAGCCTGCTATGGATAAAACAAAGGCTTAGAGGGGCCAGCCTGGGGCACAGTGGTTAAGTTCATCCACTCCACTTTGGTGGCCTGGGGTCTGCCAGTTCAGATTCTGGGCATAGACCTAGCACCGCTTGTCAAGCCACACTGTCGTGGCATCCCACATAAGGTAGAGGAAGATTGGCACAGACGTTAGCTCAGCGACAGTCTTCTTCACAAAAGAAAACAAAACAAACAGACTTAGATGTTTTTGAGAGATCAGCTTCCAGACTTAAAATGATGTCTTCTACTGGAGTGAGTCTGCTAGCGTATACTTACGGATGACTCTAACAAGGTGAGTGTCCCTAGAGGATTTTGCTGAGCCCTAACCAGGGATGAGCCCCAGACTAAAAGAGCCCTTGGAAAGTATTTGTTCCTGGAAATTTAGGTTTTTTTCTAATAGGCTTTAGAGCCCAGCCAGTCTGGGCTGCCTGCCTTTATCCCATTAATCTTGGTATTTTGCAGCATGAGAGATGAGCCATTAATAACAGCTTTTCTCCAAGCAGAGTAGTAAATCTACTTTTATTTCCAAATCTTCATTTGGCTAGTATAGGATAACAACAGTAATTTCAATTTCTTTGGTTCTTATCATTTATTCAAAGGCCAAACTTATCCTACAAAGAATGGCAAACTAATAAACTAATTACCATCATAATGTTATAATTTATTGAACACCTACTACACATCAGACACTGTACTGGACAGTTTGGCCATTTAATGGTTTTTTTCTAAACTACACCATAATAAAATAGGAATTATCCCCATTTTAGAGTTGAAGCTAAAGAAATTAAGTTACTTGCCCAAGGCCCAAGCAGCGGAGAGCTAGCATTCAACTGAGATCTGCCATACACCTAAGCCTACACTCTTTCTAGGATATCACCTCCCTAGTCACGGAGAGTTACAATTATAAGGATAGTCTAGTCATTTTATTTCAAATGAAAAGAAGGAGGTAAAATACTCCCTTTTTCATCTATTTTGCTTATTTAATAGAGTAGATGGCTCAAAGCAGTCTTCTTTAAGTTTTTCTGCTTACTCCTCTTAATATGAGAACCAGAAAAATACCTAACCCAGAAAATTACTAGATGACATAAGAATTAGCACAGATACTTATGTGGAAATATATTCCTAATAGTGTTGACCACCATTCTTTCTATACACAAAGCCTAATAGTCTTCGGTGCACAGTTCATTTAACTACTGAACTGACAAGCGCTTCAAGTCCAGAATTGTCAAATCAGGATTTTAAGACTAGAACTAAGTTATTTAATAAAGAATAGAAGAAAAAGTCATTTACTTAGAAAAACCATGCATATATTTTCATCTTACATTGCTCCGAGCAGAAAGTACAACATGTATATTCATTTTTCCATAATACCTAACAAGAAGAAATGCTTATTTCTTTTAAAATACTTAGACTACTCACTAAAATCAGTACCTGAAAACTTTCAATATTGCTTAATACTGAAAAAAAATGTTCACGTTTGTTACCACTTCTTAAGAATGAAGGAGACCTGACTTCCTGTTTGTTGTTAATTTCACCATGTTAGGAAGAAGGAATAGGCAGGGCTTCCAGGAAGCTGTGATGACTCTGAATTCGGTTTAGAAGCTGCTGCGCCACAGGTTGGAATTCTGTTTCCCAGTGGAGTCTGTGATAATTCTTTAGGTCTTGGTCAAAACTGCCACCCAGTGCTAGCTCTTCATCTGTATCAGAAAAATGAAAATTACAGCAATTATTTGGAAATGCAATCTTATTGAATAAAGTTTAATTTTCAATGGCATGAGTTAAACCCATCCGGGATCATCTCTAATTCCAACATGACATAGCTAGGATTTGGGGTTAAAAGACTTTTTTAATGGGAGTCATTCTTTATTCTTTTTTATCAACTATTTTCAAATAAGTATATTTTAGTCTCTTAATAAAAAAGGAAAATAATCTTCTCAAAAAAAAATCCTAGATTGAATTGAGCTCTTATTTCAACTAATCCGTAGTGCTTATATGTAAAGCCCACATCCAAAAATCAGATGGCAATTTCTCAGAATAAAGTATTAACGGGTTACTTCCTTCTCTGCACATTAGAAAAGTTAATTACTTCAGTGGTGACAGATGAAACAAGGAGTCAGGAAATCTTTTGGGAAAGCAGCGTGGTTGAGTTTGACACTGTAAACTTGACTGAAAACCAACTTGCTGGCTTCAGAGCAACCTAGACATACTCCCTTGAAACGACACCCCTATGCTCTCTTCAGTAACAGTGAAAAGTGGGGCACTTTGAGAACCCCAAGAAGTACTAGAATCCCAAGTGAGTTCATGGATAATGCAGAAAAGCACTTGTGAAAAAAATGCACAACTGCAGCCTTGGTTTGCTTCTTAATCCCAGGGCACTCTGCATTCTGTGAACACCGTAAGTATATTCCGCCCAAGTAGGGAGATAAATGGCCGCTAATGTTTCTGCGCCGACCCGCCACCGCATTTTTCCTTGTTTATGTAGGAGTTGTGAAGGACTTCAGGAAAATGCAGTGGTCTGCCAGTCAGAAGATTGGCTCTGCCACTTCCTAGGTCTGTGGCTAAGGCAGACTTCTTAAGTGGTAACCGCTAAATCCTAAAATGACCACAAATATTGCTACTTACATAATCTGCAAACTCTTTTCATAGGGCCAATTAAAATCCTATTATAAATGCTTCCTTACTGTTTACATCAAATTTTCTACACTGAGTATTTTCACAGACTCTGTGTGCTTTGGCTCTCTTGGTGTTAGTGTCGCCACCCAGAATAAGAATAAGATAAGGGAGTCTGGAATCCCAGTTTTTACCTTCCCTTCCTCTCCTCCAACCAAGTGGACAGCTATGCAGCTCTGAGATAAGTTCCGGGCAGACACAAACACTTCAGCAAGGAGCTCCATGGAGACCCCTGTAAGCAAACCTGGATCTCCCCACCCACAAGATAACCAGGACCTTGAGAGGAGGAGAATGCAGATGGCATCTGATGCCTTCAAAGCCCTTCCCAGTGGGCTACTTCTGGACCAGAGGAGTCTGCGAGACTCTGAGTGCTTTCCCATTTCCGGATCTCCTTCCTGCTCACTCCTCCAGATATTCTGAGCACTAAACTTCCATTAAAAAATTAATTCTCTTGTTTATGCCCTTCTTTTCCAAGCAGCTTAGGACTAAGGGCTGCCCAGGCACTTCGCCGTCCCCTCCTCTCCCAGGGCTTTGGTGGGATTTGGTGATTTTAGCAAATCTATTTTGGTGTTTTGGGGTTTTTTCAATCCAATGTCAAGACTATGTAACTCTTCTTGAGGCTTGGCCTATAATTAGTTAATCTACACTCAGACCCTATTAATTATAAATTGGGTTAGACAAGATAACAAAAGTGGCCAAACAGCTACAGGTAAGAGAAAAGTAGTCTAAAGTTTCAAAGTAAATACAGCAAATACATAAAAAGTGCCGTATTGCCTAGATATTAAAAGTGTATAAAGAGTGGCAGAGGATAATTCAAGAAAAATTTAGATCTATGATTTTCAAACTTTTTTGACTGTAACTTATAAATACATATTACATTATGACTGTACACATATACTTACAACATATTTATATACAAAACCAAACATTTCACAATGGAATACTTATCTTTATGACATGTAATATTTTCTGACATTTTCTTTCTCTGCTACTTCATTTTTTAAAGATGCTGGTCAGAGTGTGAAAAGCACTGATTTAGACAACCAGTCATTCTTAAGTTTTCTTTGTGCACAACACACTTCCAGATACTAGAATTGTAGGGTATTAGAAAGGATTAAAGGACTCAAAACAATAAATTTGTCAGGGATCGTTATAACACAGACTCTATTACAGTTTAAGTATCCTGCAGCATCCATAGAAGCATCCCCTACTCACTGCACTATTTCTCAGCTTGCTGTCCAGCACCAGGTAGCTGTTGAGGGTTGGACTGTTGTCCTGCCTATTTAAGGTGTGGTCCTCAAATTTTCCAGAAGCAGCTGATGGCTCTTTGGCATAGGCTTGATGATGGAATCTGACTTGAACCTTGGGCCCCACTCTACCCCTTTGTCACATCACCTAGGGGCTAAGTTCCATGTACCTTATGATGAGCATAAAATAACCTAGTGAGTATGTTTTACGTTCACAATAATAAACTGCGCACACTGCTCACCAGCTGCCAGCTCCCCAGAGAGAAGCCTATGGGCACAGCACTTAAGAACTTCAAGATAAACACCCAGCTAATGAGTTCCTAAGAAGTAATTGTAGTATATCAGGACGTTTTAGACAACATCCTTTTAAAAACACTTTCCAAAAAGACTGTCAACATCCCAACATCCCAATTCTGTTGAGGACCATTACTTTCTTTTTTTTTTCCAGTTGCCCATCAAGAAGAGTTGGGTAACATGTTGCTGTATCAATAGCCTTGCCATGTTTTCTAAAAACAGTGCTCACACTTCAACAGAGGGCTTTGGGATTTAACAGCTCATCTTGTTTTCAAAATGGCCTTTTTTTAGCTATCTTTGTAAAACAATGGAAATTTAAGTACACTCTCACCCACATATCCATTTCACTTGCTGCCACCCAACTGGCCAGACACAGCTACAACCCTGCCAGAAGCAAGGGTCTGAGGCCCACACAGCTGAGAGCAAAGCCAGGAAGCAGCCTGGTCCTCACAGTTCGTAAGGAGGGCCTTGTGATCACGTGAGAAATCGGGCCAAGCTCTGCTGGTGACTTGGCTCCCTGATGGACTGTGTTTGTTATCCATGCTCCAATCTCTTCCATGGGGTGGGCTAAGGGTGCTATGTAACGGAACAGCAGAAAAACACAGGCACAGAGGTTCATTTTCTGATGAAAAGTCCTGGCTTTTCTATAGTATGACCTTAGCCAAGTCACTTAGCTGTCCTAGATCTACTTTCCTCATCTGTCACCTAGATGATGGCCTCAGAGAGATCTTACAAGGATAGAATGAACATGCTTTAAAAGTATATAGCCCTATTAAAACAAAGGTACCACTACTGTCAGTCAATCCACAAGCATCTATCAAGAACCTAGTTTGCACAAGGCAATATCCTTTCCTTAAAGTGGCTTGGCTGGAGTGGGGAAATAAAAGTTACAAAACAATCATACAGGAGAAGTTACACAGTTCAGGAGTAATTGCTGTATAAGAAGTGTAGATTTCCTGCGACTAGACTGCGCTTGAAGAGGGCCTGTCCTGGAAGGACCGGCAGCATCTGGCTGCATAGCTAAGGGATATGGCCCTGCAGAGGTACAGAGGTTGGGGAAGCACAGGGGAAGACCAGCCTGGCTCTCGGGGAAGATGAGGGAGGGGAGAAGCAGGCAATAGCCCTGCTACAGTGAAGTGCCTGCCAGGTGTGCTGCCTGCTGCTGAGAAGCCGGGCAGGCCCACATCCGCTTCTAAGAGGTCCTTGTGCCACAAGGCCGCACCATTTTGTTATTTATGGCTAATTGCCCTAGACTTAGGAGCCAAAGGAAGTCACAGATAGCCTTGGTGGAAGCAGCTGCTGCCTAAGGCACAAAAGCCCTACACCCCAGTAGAGTGACTCACGGAACCAATCACATCTTCTCCCCAAATGGGAGACAGATAGAAGGGTGCGCCAACAACAGAGGAGGCGCAGAGTCACACACACTGAGTGCAGCAAGAAGCAGCCTCGAGGTAGTTGAAGCTGCAGCCCAGCAGGAGCGTAGAGGGAACGAGGGGGAGGAAGGACTTTTCCCGTAACAGCAGGGCTGGGTCTCCAGCAGCGTGGAGCAGAGGATGCCCACCACTGAGGGGCTCACTGGAGGACTCTGCTTCCTTCTGGAATGACCTTCCAGGTCCTGAGTGCCTCTCCAGCAGGCGTTGGGCAGCAGGCTTATTTCCTGGCTTCCTTCTTCCCTGGGCTTCCTTCCCTCCAACTCCTCCATCACCCAGGGCAGTGGTTCTCAGTCCTCGCTGAAGAGCAGACTCATCCGTGGAACTTTCTAAAAACGCAGATAATTGGCCTCGCCCCAGAGCTCCTGAATCAGAATTCCTGGGGATGGGGCCAGGATAAGCGTGTTTAATTCCACAGTTGACTCCAATGTTCTGCCACAGTTGAGAGTTGAATCAAGGCAAGTTGAGCATGCACTTCTGCTCCTGGCAACCCGAGAAAGCTGAACGTTCACCGAAGAGACTGTGAACCTCAATGGTTTAAAATCACGCCCATTTTTTCTTACTCTTACACACACAAAATTATATACCTGAAAAAAGAAATTTCACATCAACCTAGCAAACCTGATTCTTTCAAATAACTTCTGGTTCTGAGTTCCTGTTTAATAACATATTGTTACAACACTTGGAATTGACAGAGCACTTTCACAAGTGCGTTTTGAGGACTTGCCGTGTGTCAGGCACTGTCTCAAGCTCTTTGGACGCATCTGCTCATTATCATCCTGACAACCCCACAAAGTAGACATCCGTCCTCCCCATCTTAGAGATGAGAGAATAGAAATTCAGGGAGGTTGAGCCCAGGGTTAAAACCCTGTAAATGATAGAGTGAGGTCTTAAACTCAGAGCTGTCTGAATCCAGCCTCCTGGTCTTTCCAGGATGCTTGTTTAATCTGCATGACTCCATGTGGCAGGGCAGGGATTATCATGTCCCCATTTTAGAGACGAAAAAGACCGGTTCTGAGAGATTCTCTTGTCAAATGCCACCATCAGAGAGAAGGATCTGAACCCATGGCTTCTGTGTCACATTGAACCTTTCCACACGGCCTTGCGGATCCAACACAGTGGCTGAGCAATGGAGGGGGGACATCTCCTCCATTTTGGGAAAAGGATTATTGAAAACACCCATTTACTGACCCAAATCGTTGTTAGACCTAAACCAGGATGAAAAAAATGACCCTAAAAATAAAAACTTTCAAAATGTAAGACACTATCCTCTCTTCTTTGGTTTGTACCCGCGATCTCCTATCTTTCAAGGATACAGACCCCCGCCCCCCGTAATAGTCTCGCAGACGGACCCCCACATGATAATTAACATAGCTGCTAATTAAAATGTATAGATTCATTAAAAGCACAACTTAATTCAGAGTAGCTTTTAGCCATATTTCCTCAGTTGCAACAATGCCTATATACTTTTAAACAACAGAAATACATTTATGCTGAGATCTTGTACTTCTGCAGTGTATAGAAAATGCCAAAAAAGAAAAAAAAAAGCCACAGAGAAATCATGACAGTACCCAATGAGTTAAAAGTCCTTGTGTGCCTTTTGTAAGTAACTTTCAGTCTTTTCCAGATATTTCCAAATTATAATAATCTTTAACATGCTCTTGTTACTTACAGAAACATAGCCACCCAAACACATACTAATCTTTATCCATCCAGGTCACAGAACACAATTTTTATCTCGCTCTGATAAAACTCACAGACTCACACTCAGGAGTCCTACCTAAAAATGATGGCAGCAGGACTAAGAGGGTGTTGGTCTCTTCATCTCCAAAACATGACGAAGCGTTAGTGATATTTTCACTGAAGTTCCATAAAGTTTTGCAAACCAAGCAGGCCAGCTGCCAATCGGTAGGCCCCACATCTCTTAAACATTCCACCAACCTGAGTTAAGGAAAGTCAAACTGAGAAGTTATTAGGTCCGAATCTCTTTTTCTATTTTTAGCATTATGATTATCCTTCTGTAATGCTTAGTATTTCTATAATTCTGTGACTATTTAATATAATTTCATCGACAATTTTAAGTAGCTACAAAGTAGCGATAACCACCTCTGAAGTAAGTGTCCAGGGGAACCTAAATCCTCTCTTTAGCCCAGACTTGGCTCTTCCAAATGTTGAAATACCTCCCCCCCGAGGAATGACGAGAGGGGCCCAAGCTCCCTGGAAAACTCCGTCCCCGGGATCCTGAGTGAGTGAGGGCTCCAGGCCTGGAAACTTACTTTTTAATGCCACCTCCCTCTTTTAGGATGATGCGCTTGTCTTGATCCACGGTGAGATTTAGGAGGACGCCACAAGCAGAAAAGCAGATCTCCTGATGCTTAGCACCCAGCAGGGCAATCAGGAACTTGTGGACTGGGAAGGGCGAGAACAGACGCAGACCAGTAAAGCTCAGGGGGCCCAGCTAGGTCTTATTTTACAAAGGGGAAATGGGGAGTGGCTTGCAAAATGGAAACCCTGCAAGGGGACTTACCCATTGTCCAGCAGTGGGTTCACCAACATCCACCACTTCCAGAACCTGCCCCACCCCCCAGGTCCTCTGTCCCCAGATATTGCTACATTTGACTCAGGCATCAGCTCCCTCTCCAAGGCGGGCATAGAGTCCCTGCCTGGGCAAAGGAGGGAACCGCAGACTTCCAACCACACAGGTGACATTCACCTCCAACTTCTGGTTGTTCTCAAGGGCCCTTTTGAATTGCTTAGGAGCAATTTTCTTTAAATTACACAGCTCCTGGGGAGGGGAGTAGGCGCCCGTTGAGATCCTTCCTGAAGTTTTCCAGGTCCACAGCTTGTAAGAGAAGACTTGCTCAGACCCCTGGGAACCAGCCTGCGGCAAGGCAGGAATTCCAGGGTAAGGGGCGTCTCAGATCAGGGCAGGCTCCCTGCCTCTGGGAACCGTTTTCCCTTAGTCCTAGGAAAAGGAACTGTTGGTCCTGTTTCCTCATCCCCCAGTGGGGGCTGGGAGAAAGCATGGATAAGATGTGTGCTCCTTTCTCCTGCATACCTGAGAGGTGGCCACCCATTCTGACTTTGGCTCCACTGGTGGGTCAGACAGTGAGCCTGGCAAAGGCAGCCTCGCATATATGTGTGTTTTTAAGAGTCCAAAGAATGTCCACCAAAACGTGAACAGTTGTCTCCGGGGTAGTGAGAGGACGGGTGAGTGTTTGCTGCTGCTGCTTTTTTTTTAATATCTGTCTTATCTAAATTTCTATCACAAACATGGATAACTAGGTATTTTTTGTTATTCTTACATGAAATATTTGAGATATACAAAAAGTACAGTTAGGGGCCAGCCCCGTGGCCAAGTGGTTAAGTTCGTGCACTCCGGCTTCAGCGGCCCAGGGTTTCACTGGTTCGAATCCTGGGCGTGGATATGGCACTGCTCATCAGGCCACACTGAGGCAGCGTCCCACATGCCACAACTAGAAGGACTCACAACTAAAAATATACAACTATGTACCAGGGGGCTTTGGGGAGAAAAAGGAAAAACAAAATCTAAAAAAAAAAAAAAACAGTACAGTTAGTATAAACGTTTGTGTACCTGCCACCCAGTTTAAGAAATAGAATATTACAGAGCCAATTTTATATCTTTGGGCATCCTTTCCCTTCCAAAGGTAACTTCTGTCTTAAACATGGAGTTTATCATTTCCAAATACTTTTTATACCTTATACCATTACTACATGAGTACATGACATGAACAATACCCAATATTGTTTTGCGTGTTTTAAAACATATTTATGGCATTATTCTGTATATATCTCCCATCACTAGCTTTTTTGCTCCTACATTCCGTGTTTGAGGTTGATCCGTATGGATACATGAACCTCTAGCTCATTTATTTTAATTGCTGTAGAATATTTTGTTCCGTGATGCATTTTTCCTCTTGCCTGTCGGTGGACATTTAGGTTGTTTCCAAGTTTTGCAGTTACAAGCAGTACTGTAATTGACATTCTAGCACACGAAGGAGACTGTCTCTTGAGCCCAGTCACATGGATGGAGATGATGAGTATAGATCACTTGTGTCCCTTAAAGAAACACACACACACACACACACACACACCACGCCCTCTCGGACTCAGAAGGCCACTCCCAAGGGAGAAGGGAACACGGAGAGCACTTCCTAGATCCATCTTGGCATCTGAGCCGAGAGCATTACTTACGGACAGAACAGAATGTAAAGCACTACTCGTCCCAAAGCAGAAACAAGTGTCATGTTGTCATGACCCAAGCTGCGAAACCGCTCAGCTGTTTATTGGCAAGAAGCACATGTTTACGAATGTACGAGTCATTAACTCACCATTTTTCTGCACAATGAAATCGCAGATGTCGTGATCCTGGGAGAGATTTCCAAAAACGCGCACAGCCTCCAGGATTCCATCCATGTTTTTACTCACCAGAAGCTTGACAAGCACTGGGTTTGGTGGCCAGAGAAATGAAATCGGTGAATTTAAGTTTTAATTTAAAGGCTACTAGAAACCAATATCATATTAAATACTGATAACTTACAAGTTAACAGTGATAAAATACAAAATATAAGGGGACTTGAGCAAGAATTAAGAAACTAACTTTTTCCCAATTCTAATTAGAATCAAATCAGGCTCTTAGATATTTGTATCAGAAATCAGAAAACATGAATGCCTCCAGTTCTGTTTACTTAATAAAGTCAAAAGCTTAAACGAACATGCATCTACACAAACCCAACTCAGAACCTTACATTCAGCAATATACAGCTTTTTGTCTTGGATTACGGAGTTCTTCACTCGGTAGTAAGACAAGTTGTTGATTGTTGCTGTAGTATTGATCACCAGCTCTTCACAATCATCAACTGACTTGTATTCTGAAACAAAGTGAGGATAAGGCTGGCAACGACTCATTGCAGGGGCAGAAACAATGCCATCCTAACTGCAGCAACAGCTGTGGCAGGGACAAGCCATTGTCCGGGGCAAGGTCTGTGCAAGGGCACTGCCTGCTCTTGCTGCTTGCTTCTTTATTACTGATGACATTTCCTGCAGGGAAATGCACCAAATGCAGGGACCACTCCTGGCCGGGGTTTAGAACACACTAAGCTCAATCCCTCCTGCCAAGGGGTCTGGAAAAGTCGGGCTCATCTGGGCCCTGTGTCTGTAGTAAAGCAAAGGTGCCAACACACCGGGAAGCCGAGCCATCTCTAATCCCTTCTGGTTTGCCCTGACCCTGAGCTCTCCCAGGGGCTCCACCCTGGGGTGTGTCCCCCACACCCCCACCGCCCAACAGAATGACCCTTAGGTCATAATCCACCCATGACTTCCAAACACGCAGAATGGGATCCCTCTCACCTCCTCTATGCCCACCTAGCCCATCTCTCCCCTCCTAACTGGCTTCCCCTCTTCCACCTTCACCTCCCTGAGTCTATCCTCAACACTGTGATCCTTTAAAAGTAAGTCGATAGAGAAGGACAATCTCCGTATGACTCCACTCATATGAGGAACTTAAACATGTGGACAAAGAGAAGAGATTAGTGGCTACCCGGGGAAAGGGGGATGGGGGTGGCCACAAAGGGTGAAGGGATGCACCTACAACACGACTGACAAACAGCAATGTACAACTGAAATTTCACAAGATTGTAACCTATCATTAACTCAAAAAAAAAAGTAAGTCGACAATGCTGCTCCTCTCACATGGCCCTCAGGCCCTGCCTGAGCCGCCTCCATCCTTCCCTGTCTTGCCTCATCTGCTGCTCTAGCCCCCAGGCCCCACAGTCAACCACACCGGTGTTTGTGCTGTTTTTGAACCTGTCAGCATGATCCTGCCTGAGAACCCCTGTCCTGCTCTTCCTCTGTCTGGAATGTCCTCTTCTTCCAGCTGTCCACTTGGCTCACTCCTCACGTCCTTCAGGTTGTGGCTGAGATGTCACCTTATCGGACATACTTTCCTTAACCACCCACAGAAAATGGTGCCATTATTGGCTTTTCCCCTTTCCCCACTGTCATTTTCCCCATAGCACACATGACTGCCTGACGTCACATGGTTGATGTTTCTTGTTCAGCTCTAAGATGCAGGCTCCACGAGGATTCGGGATTTACCTCTTACTGACTGCTGCATCCCCAGCCCCTAGAAAGGTGTGTGGCATGCAGCAGGTGCTCAGTAGATAGTTGCTGGATGAAGAATGAGTGGACAAATGAATGACCCCTTTAGCCCAGCACACAAGACCCTGAGTAATTCTGCCCCTGCCTTCCCCTCAGCCTCAGCCTCATCTCCTGATTACTCCAGCCACAGTGCAGAGAAGCGTAGAGTCAGGGATGCTGGTTAGGAGCTTCCTGTGACATTCTGAATGACAACATAGCCTAGGCTTGGGCGACAGCAGAGTGATGGAGCAGAGTGGCCGGACTGGAAAACTGTTTGGGGAGGAAAATGGACACTATGTGGTGAAGACTGGATTGGGGGATAAGGGACAGGAATCTCTCAGGATGATCCCTGGGTTTCTGGATTACTTAACTGGATGGACAGCGATCACATTCTCTGAATTAAGGGCGTGGGAAGAGGGTTCAGTTGGCGGAAAGGTCATGAGTTCGGCTTTAGAGGTCTTGAGGTGCTTCTGAAGCATGCAGTCCATGAGGGCTAAGGCACTTGGATATAGGGTCTGGCAATCAGAGGAAAAGGCACAAGTCTGGTTACACTGAACTAGCTACAGCAACCTGACTGACAGAGCTGTGGAGGCAGGACCACTGCCACAGCGGCTCCAGAAGGCAAAGCATTGAACCAAAGCAGATTACTCTCAAGCTTAAGATCTCACGGAATTTGCCTTGCTGGGTTTGGAACTTGCTTGGGACCTCTCACACTTTCCCTTTTTCCCATTTCTCCCTTTTGGAACTGTCACCAACTAGTCATCCCAAGGAACTCAAGGGTGGGTTTGGATATTTTAACTGTTTTTCCAAATTGTTCTTTATCCTTTTGTTATGTTAAGGAGATGCAATCACCAACCTCCCTGAACCAGACCGAGCCTCACCACAAGAGCTATGCCTATGGCCTTTGCCTTCTTTTAATGCTAAGATCTCTCCAGGAGGAGCTTAGGCCTTATTACCCTAACCTGCAGTGTGTGTGGAAGCATGTTTTCCAACTGAACCTGCGCAAGCGAATACCCACCTCTCCCTTTTGAATATTCATTCCCCACCCCAAATCAATATCCCTGCTTCCCTTTGTTTGGGGACGCCATGACTTTTGGAAATGATTCCTCCTGGTCTCCTATTTGCTGCAGATATACTTTACTTTGGGAGACAACTACCTGGTGGAGAGTCTGATTTAACTCGCCAGGAGGGAACCCACTTCCGTTTGGGTTACACAAGGAGAATGTCCACCCTCGGCCTGTCCCATCGTTGTATTTTGGAAGCACATAACTCGTCTGGTTTCATAGGTTCATGGCAGGAGAGGAATTTCTCTTCCTGATATATCTTATCTCAAATCTCACAATATCTGATTTAGATGATATTTAAATGAGACTTTGGACCTTAGACTTTAGAGTTGATGCTGGAATGAGTTCAGAGTTTGGAGCTGTTGAGATGGAGTGAATGTATTTGCATGTGAGAAGGACATGAATTTGGGGGGGCGAGGGGCAGAATACTATTGACTGGATTGTGTCCTCTCTCCCAAATTCATATGTCGGAGCCCTAACCCCCAATGTGAGTGTATTTGGACATAGGGGTTTTAGGAGGTAATTAAAGTTAAATGAGGTCATAAGGGTGGAGTCCTTATCCGATAAGATTGGTGGCCTTAAAGAAGAGGAAGAGAGAGGTCATTTGTTCTCTCTCTCCCCACCTGCAACATGGAAGAAAGGCAGTGGGAACACTTAGTGAGAATGCAGCCATCTGCAAGTCAGCAAGAGAGCTCTCAAGGAGCCCGAATCAGCCAGCACCTTGACATTGGACTTCCAGGCTCCAGAACCATGAGAAATAAATTTCTATTGTTTGAGCCCCCCGGTCTGTGGTATTTGGTTACGGCAGCCTGAGCTGATACAGGGGGAAAGAGGGGACCGAATGACTGGGGGCCATAATTACAGCTAATGTAAAAACGTAACAAATAAAAAGATAAACTTTAATCACATGGACTAACCCACGAAAAGTTCGGGATTTTAAACTCTTTGTGGTTAGTTTGGCCAATTTTTGATAACTCGATTGGCATACTTTTTTTATTGCAATATAAATCACATACCATAAAATTCTCCTTTCAAAGTGTACAATTCAGTGGGTTTTAGTAATGACCTGTATTATTATATTTTATTTTATTTTTTAATCTGGATTACTTTTGAGGATTATTTTTGAGGTAGTTGTCTGCACAGAACAGCTGAGGAGGCTTGTCAACGTGGGCCGATTGTGCTAATAAAACCCTCACCACATCCAAGCCACAGAACCATCTCCAGGCTGGAGGGAGCAGCTCCCGCCCCACGTGTGTGCTGCAGCCAGGCCGCTGGTCTTACCCAGCATGGCGAGGAGCAGGCCCACTACGTGTGGGTTGGCGGCCATGGCCGGGCCGATGCCGGGGTGGATGGCTAAATTGGCGAGTACACGAGTCAGCTTGATGAGCACGTCCTCCGCCTGGGTCGGTGGCCTCTGCACCTTGAGCTGCTCCTCTCCGTCACCCACCCACTTCTTGGACTGCAGGTCCAGTTGGTAGAACGTATGGAACAATGACAACAGGGTGGGGACGCCCCCTTTCTCTTTGGAAAACTGTTCACGAGCCTGGTTATTTTTCGCTGTCAGGTTGCCAAGAATAAAAACAATACGAACGACTAAATCCTGCAATAAATTAAAGACAAGAGTTACAAGTGCAAAGGGGCTGGGACAAGCTGTTGGAGACAGAACAGTCTTTAATTAATTCACGATTCAATTAATAGTAAAATGGAACACGTCTGGCTTCTACTAACTTGTGCCGTATTTGATTCCCAAGATTGGTGCAAATTGCAGAGGAGATTAAAAGCATTTGGCAGCAATGAAAGAATATCAACTGATTGATGCTGTTAGCAAGGTCTATTCAGATCCTTCATCAGAAATTCTGGCTGGCCTTTTTTTTTTCCCAGAGAACAATTAGTGCGGTGGGATAGCATTACTAATAATAATGTATTACATAAATCTAAGTTTTGCTACTAACGGTTTCTTGAGCGTCTGAATTTTTTCCTGAAAGTTCACCTCCTGCTGAAGGACCGTGTTTCCCAAACTCAGACATTCGTGGCTGATTGGGTTCTGTTACAGCAGGGTTTCTCAACCTGGGCACTACTGACACTGGGGCTGGATGATTCTTGGCTGTGGGGGACCGACCGGTGTTTAGCAGCATCCCTGGCCTCAACTGCTAGATGCTAATAGCCCCTCCCCAGACGCCACAACCAAAAATGTTTCAATGTCCCCTGGGGGCAAAATCACCCCTGGCTGAGAACCACTGTGTTATATACACAAACCAACTTGAAAGCAGTACTTGTCTTTCTCCAACAGGGTAGTGGTGACCTGGGTGACACCTTTATAACTATTTGCTAAGCAGTAAATACGTGTTTTATGCATTTTTCTGTATATAGGCTATATTTCACAATAAATACATGTTTTGGAAAACCCCAAGCTGAGAACATTTTACAACAAGATACATAAACAATTATGTTCTTAATGTGACACCAACAGACATCCGATTACGGTAGGCCTTACACGCACGGGTTGAAGGAGGTCCCTGGAGAGGGGAGACTTCAAAGGAACACTTGCCGAGGGTCCGCCCCTGGCCTGGGTTCTCATACCTGGAGTGTCAGGTGCTGAGCTATTTAACAGACAAGGAATAGGCAAGGAGAAGCTGCAGGTCACACAGCCAGTGAGGGGGAGCAGTCAGGACTCGAACCCAGGATCATCCAGACCTGAAGTCCTTTCCATATCGTGCCCTGCCTCCCACCTGGCGTGTAGTTTAATCATCTCCTCCTTTGCCTGGCCTTCTTTCAGAACAGTTAAGGAATTATCTCCTTTTAAAATGCAAATATGTCACCAGGAGGGATTCAGATAAACCTTAACTTTATCAGATGTGTAGTTATCCGCAGCCTTAAGGAACAGGGACAAAGGGCAGAGGGCTGGGCTTGGTTATATCAGGGAGCCAGGTCCAGGTGGGACCTGAGGGGAGGGGTGGGCAGCACAGAGTACTGTGTGTGGCAAAGAGACAGCGGAAGATCAAGGACAAGGACAAGACTTTTGGATTTGCCCAGGGCCACTCTGCCAACACCAATTTGTTCCTGCTTGTTCTTGGGGGAAAAAAAAGTTTTCCCTGGCCCTGGCCTGGAAGAAGCCAGGCTGTTGCTTGTGCAGCTGGGAACCATTTGCCAACATTAAGAAAGGGCGGAGTCTAACACATGGCAAGAACTGGAGCTGGTCCAGGAGGGAGTTGACACTGGAAAAACCTCAGCCCAGTGTGTAGCCAATTGCGGCAGCCGGCGGTCAGGAGAGCCCACTCCTGGGGCCACCCCGGAAATGGGCATGCTAGTCCTCAGGGAACTTTTGAATGCTGGGGGTCTGGGGGAACACACACACACACAAACAAGTAGGAGACGAGGTGCTCAGAGCTTCTGATCTGTTTAAGAAGACAAGGCTCACATGTGGGGTGATAGCAAAGACCCAGCAAGAAGCCAGACACTGAAGGGGCTATATGATTCTTGCTCGAGAACCAGACAGTCTGATTCAGACAGGGCGCTTTACTGAGCCTCTCTCTGTCTCCATTAACTCTTTTGTAAAAAGGGGAAAATATTGTATTGTGATTAAACGAGATAACAGATAAACCACAAATGGTAGTGCGTAACGATTCAGGCATTGTTACAAGCCCTTTTCATGGACTATCAATAAAATGTTAGTAGCATTAAACTATGTAGGACAGATCAAGTGATCTTGTCACCTGATGTCTGCCCTAAGCAGCTTGCTTAACCCTTCCTCAAGGTTGTTTTTCAGAGCTATGCTGGATACCAGTGTCAACCAGCCTGAACCAGATGGAGCCCCACTGCAAGGGCAGCGCTTGTGCAGATGGCCCAGAGAGGACCAAAAGATGCTCTTTATTTCATCTCAATACTAAAGTCTCTGCCCTGGGAGGAGCCTAGGGCTTATTAGCATAACATGCGATGTATGAGAGAGCATGTTGTCAGACTGCGCCTGCGCAAACTAAGACCTACCTGGACATGTGACGCCAAAACTTCCCTTTTAAATATTCATTCCCCACTGGGAATAAAAGACCCCTGCTTCCCTTTGTCTGGGGAGCCACGACTTTGGAAATGATTCCGCTTGGTCTCCTATTTGACGCAAAGAAACTCTACACTGTGTGACAACTACTTCTGGTGGAGGCTCTGACTTTAACTCGCCAGGAAGCGAACCCATTTTGGTTTGCTAACAGTCTTAGAAGAGTTTAGATAAGAGGATGCTCCATGGACAGTCGGGAGTCAGCAAAGTTACATGAATGAATTTGAGTGCGACCTTGAAAAATGCATGACACGCGGATATGTGGAGGGGAGGATGGGGTGGGTTGGTGGGGGGAAAAGATGGGGTCTTGAGAAAGAGTATCTGAGACAATCCCCTTCCTGGGGCCTGGGGTCACCTGGTCTGTCTTTGATAGGGAAGCGGAAGCCTGTGGGTCTTAAATCTAAAACAAGCACACAGAATTTCATTATAATACTTGACTCTCACTTCACGTAAAACCAGTGGTTACGTCATGTAATTCCTGAAGGCAAAGGCTCCTCCCTGGGCTCTGGAAGGAAGCGCTCCTCCACCCTGGCCTGGCCTCACCCAGAGGAAAAGCAGAACGTTTTCCAACCAGGACGGAGGGCACTTGTGAGAACTGGGCTCCTCCAAGGAAAGTTCCATTTTATCTTTTCTAAGTTGAGGAATATGAGCTTTTCGAATAAACTTGGATATATGATTTCTGATCAAAGACACTCGACACGAGTTCTACCTCGGGAAATTGTAATAATTACTACTAGTAGTAGCAGCAACGAACACAAGGGGCTTACAATGTGCCAGGCGCTGTTCCAAGCATTAGATGTACAGAAGAACTAACTCACTAAAAGTGAGAACGTCCAGTTCTTTATCCTGAACAAAGCTGTTCCCAATCTCTTACAATCCAGGTAGCAATCTCCCCATGCACTTGACAGCAGTCATGGTAAACATTTTTGGACTTCTGCATGTTCCCTGGATTGTGCTTTTCTCCCATTTCCACAAAAGTACATTAAGCAAGACGGGAAAGATCAGTGCTTTTAAATGACTTCTTAAAGAATTTATAAGTAGTTGTATTCTGTCAGCTAAAGCATTACCGGAATTAACCAATTTACCTCCTAAGATGTCACTGCCATCTTCTGAAGGATGCTAGACCATCTTTTCTCCCTTCTCCCTCATCCTTGGCCTTGCTCCTTCCCCGCTACCTCGCTACGTCTGTTTTCTCATTAGTCTAACTCAGTGGGGTTCCCTGGCCCTGTACCACCCCCACCTGTCACTGTTGATTTGCCAGGAGTGTTCAGACCAGATCCCTGGCTGTGGGCGGAAGCAGCTTTCCTTAGAGAGCATCGTTCTTCAAAATTCAGATGACCTCTACCCACTGTCTCCTGTGTTCTAATCTGGGAAGATTCCCTGCCACTTTTCTTCTTTGAGAAATTCCCTCAGGCCCCTTCCACTTCTAAAATTCTTTGATTTTAGTATCTCTGTGGGTCCTAATGTGGCAGAGATGATTACTCCTGACAGGGGGAGAAGAAACTCTAGGCTTTAGGGCAGGAAGAGTTAACACTGTCACAATACCTCTTTCCCTGCCTTCAGATGGAAAAAGGAGGGGGTGGTTCCTGGCAGCAGTGGTGCCAACTGAAGGATGGCATGCGAGATCAACAAATGGGGATGACAGATTGCGCCGTGTGTAGCACCAAACTTCCAGCAACTGCTATGCCCTGTCCTCTTTCTCAGGGTTGGCTAAGCCATCTTTTTTTTTTCTTTCTTCCCCCCAACTTTCTCAAATGTATTCTCCCCGAATCGTGGGAGCATAGAATAGGCCAAAACAGGAGCTGTCTCACAGGAGGTTGGCAGAGGTGGTGTTCCCTTATTCCCATGCTGGTGCTTGTCTCGACTCATCGGAAATCCTAAAGAGGAACTGAGCAAGAGGGCTTTGCAAGGCCCCTTAGCTCACCGAGGGTGGCCTCTGCACCACGCACACGAGTGCACTGGACGGTATTGTGGACAGGTTCTTCATTGCTCCACAGCCCAATCCACCTCAAGTCTACAAAGTATCACTGAATTAAAATCCTACAAAGATGTGGAAAATTAGACAAAGGCCAAAATCATCGATTTGTAGAGACCACCAATTCCACAACAGAAAACTACTTCATCAATACGCAGTTCTTCTCTGATTCTTACACAGTATCTGAGAACGACCTACAAATCAACACTGCACTTTTATGGCATTTTTATTAAATTTAACACAAAGTTGGCTATTCATACCACAACTATGGAGTTTGGAAACACGAAGATGAATCAGGAGAGATGATCTTTTTTGTTTTTTTTTTTTAAAAGAAGTCAGTCTAGTATAACCAGTTCATATCGACCTTCTATTTTTGCTTAAAATGGAGTCAGCCTAGCAACAGCCACGGCCAACCGGGGCTCAGACAAACAGGTACACCTACGGTCAGAAGCCGGACCTCCACTGTGCATTCCAGGTACAGCCTGTGGGATATTCTCTTCAGTTTCTCATATATTGTGCCCTAATGAGCAAGCACGTTACTCAATCTGAACGGGCTCCACATGCCTGGAAATAAAAT